CGGGCGGCGAGGGAGGCGCTGCCCTGGGGGCAGTGCGGGGGGCCCTGCGGACCCCCCGGCCTCTCCCCCCATCCGCCTTTCTCCGTTTCTCCGCCGCCCCGAGGATGAGCGGAGCCGAGGGCGCACGCTTCAGGAGAGTGGCGATCCGCAGGAAATCCAGCGCCGCTCCCGGTGCCGGCGGAGCAGCGCCCGGCAGCACGGCCGCAGGTAACCCCGCAGGTCATTCCCCCGGTAACCCCCGGTAACCCCCCGGTAACCCCCGGTAACCCCCCGGTAGTCGGGCAGCGCTGCCGGGGCAGCGGCGCTGTGGCCGCGGCTGTCTGGGGCTGTTTGCCGAGCAGAAGGCGCTGCTCACCTGCCGGAGCCGGGACAGGTTCTCCGGGGAAACTCCTGCCGTGCGGGGCTTGGGGCCGCTGCTCCCGGGGGCTGAACCCGGGGGATGATGGGGAGAAACCCCCCAGCGCCTTCGGAGCTCCTACCAAATGCACTCGAGTTGTACTTTTTATTCATCTCCGTGTTTGTTACATTGGTATGTGTTAGAATGTTACATGTTTTTATATCCAAGACTTTTGCGCTAGTAGTTCTTAGGACGGCAGGAAAGCCACGTTCCCCCTCTCACAGATCGTGTCACCTGCCCCTCCCCAGTGCCTCTCTCTTTTCCCCCTTCAGCAGCAACCTGTGCTAGACTTGTTTGACACGATACACTTCAGAAGGCAGCTGCATAATGTTGAACGGGGCAGTCAGACTCTGGCAGGTTACCTGTGTTACCTTGGCCAGCCTGAAGAAGTACAGTCATAAAATCTGGACTTCAGAAGGTTGTCCTTTATCAGCAAGTGAACGCACATGCCCATGTTTCCAGGCCTGAGCTGTGTGATATGACAGCGAGTGCAATGTGCTGTGTGTGCAATGTGCTGTCCTCATGCTTGTGGTGCCACGGCGGCTTGGTTTTATGGGGGTGAAATAAAGCTTGAAATCTCTGCCATATGGCTGTTATGATGTTGGGAATTATGACACGTCAAATACTTAGGATGGGGTATTTTGCTTTGGGACAGACCACGACTTCCTGAGCAAGAGCCCTGCTTAATTTAACAATGAGAACGCACAGAGAAGAACAGACTATCACAATGATGTTCACAGGATCCTTTCTTTTAGGTTTAATGTGTAGCAACTTTGGATTTGCTCATGAAACCACAATATTTTATTGGTGGTGGGATATTTTTTGCCCCCAAGGCTTTATGTGTTTGTTTACACTGGGAAAGAGGAATTGGTAATTGTGTTTGCAGCATGTAGACTTGGATTTTTAATCTCCTCAAAGAGAGGTATACTTACAACCAGGACTCCGTGTTTCCTGTTAGTTTGTAATTTAGTTTGTTTAGTCTTCTGCAGTTGCTCTCTGTTACCTTAGACTCCTGGGTAGTGTATTTATACTCATCTACAATCTATTCATTGTCACTCTTTTCATCTGTGCTCACACCAACTCCACCAGGTGACTTATTTACTGAACGTTTGTGCAAGATGCAGCCTTTCACTCTTGCTGGCTTTTGGGTTGCAGGAAGGTTGTGAGGTCCACAACAGAAGCAATATCCTCCTAGTCAAATATGCCTGCTCTGCAATAACCAAACTCACAGTAGATTCTTGTATTGTGACTCCTAAGAATGAAAACCTCACAAATTAAGATAAGGAAATGAATATGTGGGAAATAAAAGGGAGATTTTGTGATGATTTCTCTATATAAGTGTATATAAAGCCTCTCTTTTTTTTCCCATTCATAATCCAATTCTCCTGGAAGATGAGATGAAGAAACCTTCTGAACACAACTTCTATTCTCAGAGTGGAACTTTGGCTCCCTGTCTGCTCTTCCTGTTGCAGAAGCTGCTGGAACAAGTGTTCCAGCATCCTATAAACCCAGGACAGCTTTGTAGCTTCCCTCTGTGTAGTCAGAATGTGACTGCACTTGCTTCTGTGGCTGACAAAAGCTCACCAGACTGCCTTGATTCTGCAATAAAATTAATCCACAGTTGCAACACGAAGCTAGATGTGTTCTTTCTTCTATTAAAAAAAAAGAAAGGCAGGTGTTTAGGCTTTTCTGGCTTATAAAATACTAACTGGATCTGAAAAGGGTTTTAAAATGCAGCACTCTGCCTGTGACCTGCTTGAAAATCTTACAGGAAAGGAGTTAGTGTAGCCCATTTCCAATGCTTGTCTCTGCCAAATGTTGTGCAATATGAGAGTTACTGACATTACTGCCTGGGGGACAGTACTCAGGCAATTGTCTCAGATCTGTATCTGGAAAGGAACTTGAGAAAGTAAATCTGTTTTATGAGCTGTAAATGCATTCGAAACAATTCTGGATAATGCATATGGCAAGCATATCAGAACTCTTCTCAAACTAGTAAATTGTGCGTTAATTAGTGCAAAGACATAATAAAGACTATTGTTAACTCCTGTGCACTCAATAGTTGCCTCACAGCTTTTGACACTGGGCTGATGAAGGAGGGAATGTTGCAACTTTATGTGCTGGGAGGCAGAAGATCAAGGAGTGTTTCCATTCTTCTTGTTGCTCGAAAACATTTCTGATGCTGAGATGAGCTACTGAAGTTTTCTGTTACAGCATCAGCCTTCTGTTGTGCACTGCAATCAAAGTTTCTGATATGTAACAGAAAAATCTTTCTGCTCTTCCACATACTATAGCCCAAATTCACCTTCATTGTCATGTGCAAAGTGGCAATTCATATTTTATTAACCTGTGAGTTTGAAAAAGCTTGGTGTGTTTAACTGCCTTACAGACAAAGCAAAATTTATCTCTCATTAGAAGCTGACTTTTAAAAGTTTAGACAAAAGAGTGCTTGAATCTTCAGAGATACTTTGAAATGGATGGAAAATGTCAAACCTGGTATCTGGAGAGGGTTTAGAGAAGGTTGTTGTGTGGGGTAATGCGATTAACAATCTGTTTTTGAAGAGAATAACTGTTGTGGACTTGGTGTCTTTTTTTCCCCTGCTAAATTAGAATTCAGAGTTTGTGCGACTTGAGTGAATCTTTACTTCCAATGTGTGTGTGCATGTTAACTCCAAATTAGCTCCCTCCTGGAGACAGGTCTAGGCCACAGCTTGCTTGGTCAGCGCTTTGAGAAGCCAAGAGCTCTGCGAGGTGAGAATGTGGCACCACTTCCATTCCACTGAGGATCCAGCTGCCCTTGGAGCTTCTCCCCGCGCTTAGCCAACTTAATTAAGGCATGAAGCCACCACTCAGAGCACAGGGACACAGTAACTCACTCTCCCAGCAAGAAATAGCTTGCTCCTGTCATCAGCACAGCCGCCTCTGGCCTCGCTGCACATAAACCACATTAACTTCTGTGGCATTCAACTCTCGCACGGCTTCCCCGGCTTTATGCGCTGGAGTGCAGGTTTTCACCCTCTCTGCAAAGTTTTCCTCTGGCCACCGGCTTCCAAATGTCCATCTGCTGGCACTGTGCTGTCTGTTGGCAGTCTCAGACACTGCAGATGCCTCCTGGGGAGCTGAGGTAATTTGAATTCAGGACAGCGTTCACTGCAGCAAGGTGTCTTCTAACACTGACAGGAAAAAAAAATAGTTCCCGCTGCTGCTGTTGTATCTCTGCCTGTAAATGGGTATGAAACGATGGGATTATGTTCAAGAAACTCCAGTAATCTTTTGGGTTTCCACCTTGCAGTAGGAGATAACTAAATGAGACTCTAATAGCCTGCTGCTCCTGTCTTTGAAAAATGTCTTTGTTGTTTATTTTTTAAATGCTAGAAGGACAACTGTGGCCTGCCTGACAGCTTCTCTTTGTTGTTTTACCTTTGAAAATACAGTAATGAATATTGGGTTTTTATTCTTCTTGTTCCTGGCTTTGCATAACCCTCTGCATTTTGTTGACCGGTCTACAGTTATTGAAAATTTGGTATACAGTGTGTTCAGCAAAGACCTATGCAATCATTAGGGCTAATCTTAGCAGAGATTTGCATCTCTAGGTGCCTTAGAGACCACTGACAAAGAAAAATAGCTGCTTTACAAGCCTTCCTGGGGATTGGAGCCTTTCTGAGCTTTTTCTAAAGTTGAGCTTTATCAAGGAGTGTTGATACTTTAAAATGTTGAGAGAGGAAGGTGAATATAAGGAAACTGCTTTCAAATATTTCTCTTCCTTCAAAAATGAGGGGAAGTAAAGCAGAACAACTTGCTTTATGCAGAACTTGCATGAAAATACATTTTCCTCTCATTAGAGAGTTTCCTGTTTCTGTGGGCCAAATTAATTGCCTCTGCCCCTTATTGAAGCAAATGTGGGGAAGTGCCAAGAAATGGAACTTTGCTTTCACCATTTCTCCCCCCACTTCTCATCCAACATTCAGGATCGAAAAAATCCCCTCAGAGCCAGTAAATGTAGTTTAAATGTAGTGTTCAGTTCATACACTGTCCAGTCATGTCTGTATGTGCTTTGGGTTGGCTTGAGGTTCCATTTAACTCTTGTCTGACAATGTCTACTTTACCCCATAATTCTTCTTGGCCTTACAATATTGACTTCCTGGTGATCTGGATGTTGATTTCCTGAAATAAATTAAAATTTGTATTCATTGATGGCCTTTTAAGTGACAATACACAAGAGATTTCAAAGGAGAGTTGCAATTTGACATGGGTTTGCTGGAAACTGTCCACTCCTTGCTCTAGAGGCTTCATTTAAATGTAGCCTGAGAGGCCAAAATCACTTTGGTTCTGGTAAGTACCATTGCTGAAATGCTTCTAGGCATTGCTGAAACTGGGAAAGTAATAATTTGCACAGTACAAACAAAATTACTTTGTTGTACAGAATCATAGAGCTGGTTTCTTTTGTAGACAAATTAATAAATGTGGTTGGGAGATCTCCGGATTGGAAAGGAGAGCTTGTTCAAGGAATGTGTTACATTTGGGTAACAAGTAAAATCAAATGTTGACCAAGGAAGCTGTTAATAAATAAAAAAATAAAAAACAAATAATAATTGTGATTTGCCTTTGACAAGTATTTTGTTCCTTTTTTTCTGTCAGCACCCATAATGCTTAAAACTGCAATTATCAGACTTTTCCCCCACTGCTGAAGTCCCAGTTAGGGACTATCTCATCTCCCAGCATTCCAGTCAAAATCCTATTCATAACTGGGCAGTATTTGGCACTGTTTGTCAGTATGTCTTGGGTACAGTGAGATCTGTGATAAAGCCCTCCAGCTGCAGTGTTTTTGCACTGCTGTGTCTTAAAGCAGTGTTATGCATTTGATATATAAGTTGTCTTCCCAGGATGAGGGGTTTGTCAGAGGAAAAGGAAAAATAAGAAGCAAGGAGTTATTTTAAAATGAGACACTTGTGGGCTTTTTCCTCTAGTTCTCTTAATATTGGGTAGACTTTCTTCAAAAAATTTCTGTCAATTCAATATTTTAATCAAATTACTGACTGTGAATTTTGTAGCTGGAGCTCTATTTCTGTGAGAGGAGAAAATGGCTTTCTATTCCAGAATGGGATACTATGTATATTAACTGTCCTGAATATAAGGTGATCCAGGATGAATATTTACACTTAGATGATCAGAATTATCCTTTTCATCTTGTTAAATCTGTGAATAAACTTTGCCTCCAGCTATTGATGGTCAAAACATTTTAATCAAATGCCTAGCAGTGGATAGCTCGATATATTCAGGCCATTGTCAACAAACTCCTGTACTCGTGACAAAGGGACAGAGAGCTCTGCTTAGGGAGAGTATCCCCAGAGCACCAGGTTGTGTAAATAACCTGAGCACAAAGGAGGAAATGGAAAGAGGCATTTTTAGTGGTTTCTTCAGCTAGATGCCTTGGAAATAGCATTTTAACAGAGATAAGCCTTTAGCAGAAGAAAAGTCTTTTGAAGTAAATGTAGGGAAAGGAGGATGTGGTTCTGTTGAAATGTTGGCAAACCGTGTAGAAGTCAGCTGTGGTTCCAGGGTACAGATACACAGCAGTAAAGTGATATCAGAACGTATGGAGAATTGAGTAAAAGCAGGAGAGAAGGAAAATTACTGCTACAGTAGCCTGCAAATCTAGACATGTAAAGAAATGTATTTCTAATGAGTTTCAGAGCAATTTGACACCTCTGATTGCACTGAAACTCAGTAAAATGGAGCATAAAATGTGTTAAAATTAGAGGCAAAAGACACTGAGTGGAAGGTAGGACAGAGCAATGAAATAGCATTCATAGCATTCATTATAAGTATTAATGCTAAGTATGTCAGATGTTAATGTGAAACAAGTAGCCTGGAAAGAAGGAAAAATGTGGTGGCACTGTAGTGTGACATGTGCAATTCTGAGATCTATTAATGACTTCTGAACAAATGCCTTGCAGCACAGGCGATAATGTAGCTTGGAGGTGTAGCCTTCCCCTCACTCTCACCCAGATGCTGGTGTGGCCAGGATTAGATGAGGCTAGGAGAGAAACAATGGTGAACAGTGATTAAAAATCACTGCCTGGTTCAGTGGCTGAATTTCTTCTGGCCCTTTCAAGGGTTTGACTTTTTATTAGCTGAGTGTGTGATGTTTCCATGCTGGGCTCTTGGCTCTGCTGGTCACCACTGGGGACTTTGTGGTGCTTGAGAAGCAGAAGTCAACTGAGAAGTTTCCAACTGCATCTTCTGTTTCTGTGAAGCAGGAGAGGCCTCAGCCTGCAAAACTTGAGAGCAGATCCCCCTGCCCATTCCTGGTGGCTTCTCAAAGGTAGAAGATGTAGGGATAGAGCGCAGAGCTCCCTGGCACTGCCTCTGCTTCTGGCTGAGCACCCTGACCTGGCCACTTGCTGCTCCTTGTGGGGACTGCCCAGTCTTTGAGCTCCAGCTAGAAAGCTGGGCTAGGGTGACTTTTTATTTATTTACTTAAGGCTTCACCTTCCTATTGGGCTGAGACATTTGGCTGCTTAAGCTCAGGAGCCTGTCATATGCCACACTACTCTCTTGAACGCTGTAGTATTGCTGGCTCACAGGAGAGAAGGCTTCTAGTTTCTCTTCTACCATGGAACAGGTATGCTA